TCTCAAGAAAACTCTTGGTAAAAATATTGTTTAATGGACAAAAAAAACCCCCAAACTCTTAAAATCCAGAGTTGTCGGCACCAGCAACTCGTACAGTCCCCTAATAAACAAAATAGATGAACAAAATGAGCTGCAATGCTGCCATCTAGTAACATTCACTTTCATATACAGCCGTTTTTCCCCAAAACTGTTTTTAGAGCACACATCATTTGGTAAAACCCAAGCATTGCGTTATTGGGTTTTCATTATCAGAGGAAAAAATGATAACGATTCACACAGATACTGAATAATTGTGCTAATATGGGATCGGACATCCCTGGTAAAAAAGCAATTAAAAAAACCCCCAAAAAACACTGGTATTTGACCCTTGTAATTGGAACTATGTTCAAGGCAAATCAAAATTCTAACAAGAAAAAATTACAGAAGGGATTCGAACATAGTGATTGCACTGTACCTTTTTATCGCTTAGTCCAGAAACGGTGTCCATGTACTGCTCCTGGATCATGAAGGCTGCCAGGTTAGCAGTGTAGGAAGCCAGAAAGATGACAGCAAAAAAAGCCCACACCAGGACCATGATCTTACTGGTGGTTCCCTTTGGGTTCTCGATCGGGACTGAATTGTTAAAGACAATGCCCCAAAGTAGCCACACTGACTTACCAATGGTGAAGGTGGGACCCCCTGGATCTAAAGCAAGAAAAAACACATTTTTTTAATGTGGAATAGTACCAGAGGAAACGAGCTTCTGTCTGACATGCTAAGACTTATTTTGGCAATTTTATTTTGGTATATATGTGTTTTGGGCTACATTTGAGTTAAGATTTCATTTCATTTGATATTTTTTTCTTTATAAGGTGTACTGCAACACCTCTTAACCAAGAGCCAGCCTCTGTGTCTCACACTTAGAACAAAAAAAATGGAAATCACACTCACCTTTGGCAGTGACAAGACTGCGGTTATATCCCACTGGACTGCAGTACTCAAAAACAAAGACAGTGATAGCTACAACGGTCAGGCACATGACGAACATCATTACCCAAACGGCCGGACTGTAGGGTTCTGCAGGTAGAGGGCACGCAGGGGAGGTAAAATGGTGGCAGGAGGAGAGGTATAAAACAAGAAAAACAAGGATTAATGGGAGAGAAAAATGACGTTGGTACAATGACAGAGGAAACTTTTTAAAAGTAGTTAATAACTAGCTACCATTTAAATCTATCTATCTATCTATCT